TTCATTTTATAATGCAGTGACCCTGTTGTGTTGAAGTTGGTATGTTTGATATAATGTTTCTGTATTTATATGCTGGGGTGCAGATACAAAGTCCTCTTAAACATGGAGATTCATCAGGAAGGCAGGGTATGTTTGCACATTATAGACTAAATAAATCAGAGATGTATAGTATAAGCTTTTGTGAGCCTGAGTTCACTTCATTATGAAGCCATTTGTGATGCTTATATGAAAAGATCCTGAATTCACAGATTGTAATGTGCAGAAAACTGTATGGGGTGATTTCACATAGAAAAATCCAAAGAAAAACAAACAAACCCTAAACAATCCAAACAAATCAACTTGATGGGAAATTATCTGAATCCTCATTAATGACTTCCACTAACAATGAGATAAATAGGAAGGAGAAACCTACGCTTTGTTTCACACATGTAAATAGCTTCAGTGAATTCACTGAGCATACACTTTTGCAGCATTGCAGCTGGCATGATTGTTTTGTGACTGCAACTTGGATATTGGAGTAACTTCTCAGCCCAGTGTTCCTAGAAGGAGGTTGGAAAAACTGAAGTAACTCTGAGAAGACTAGCAGAAACAATTGGTGAACGGAAGGGTCAGTGAGGAGGGAAAAGGATGACAACTCAGTGATGAAGGGAAAGCTGGGACAGTTGACAAATATGTGGATGGTATATAAAGAAAGAAGGGAGAGGGATAATTTGGGGGCAGCACAACGAAGGCAGGCAGGGGAAAGGAGAACATTACAAGTAGTGGATGGAATAAAAGTAAATAGTTTATAGACTAACTTTTAAAAACCTCCTGCCAGTCTGTTTATTAGCTGGGAGCACTGGGACATTTCAAAGTAAACCATTGATGGTTTTCAGTAGGGAACAAACCTGCAATGACCACTTTGGGCAGGCTGGCAGGAGCATAACAGAGGTTTTTCAGCAGTGCAGTCTATGATTCTCTTGAACTGTGTACAGAATATTGGAGGCTTAAGTTCCTTTTTGGAGAATTTCTACCCAATAAATGAACTGTGTTCCATGGCCCTTTGCTGAGAATACCATGGAGCTGTAGAGCTCGGCAGGACTTGTACCACCCCAGCTGAAGTCTCTGGGAGTCTTCCCATGGAATTCAGTGGGAGACAGAACTGGACTTTGTTGGCCAGTCTGGCAAGTTCTGATGTTTGTAAAACTCTTTGGGAACTTGAAGGGTCGAAGTTGCATCACTGACCTGGATCCTGAATGTCATCTGCAACAAAAAGGGATAAAGAAAAGCCAAAGGAATCTGAGAGAGAGGACCCAGTAAGAACAGGAATCCAAGTAAGCAACAAATAGGGAAGTTCAGCTTGCAGTTTGGTGTCTTCAAGGGGGCAAACAGCTTTACTGTCCCTTGGAGACCACAGGGAGGAGTGAAGAAGCAGCTCACATTTGGTGCTCAGAAAAGGGCTGCTCTGTAGATGAGGGTAGAGATGTTCCTATGTACTGTTCCATTCATATCATTTGCTAAGGAAGTTTTTTTCATTGGTATAACATTCAGCTCCACAGGCTTCCCAGATAGGGGGCATGTATTTGTGGAAGTATTTCTAGCAAAGCACAGAATTAACTTTAAAACTTCTCAAAAAGCCTTCAGCTCCCCTGAACCACAGGAGCAGCACTTTAGAGAAACAGAGAAATTAGAGATTTATGTCCCTCCTGATCTGACTCTCCCCTCTCCTCATCCAGAGCTTTGCCCAGTCCTGCTTTCTGGTAACTCAGCCCTGGGAGTCCCACCCCCTCAGGTGGGCTGTTAGAGTGGTCCTGCAAGTCCACTTTGTCTGTGACTCCACCTGACTTATTCTCTGTTCAGTGTCTTCTCCCTACTTGTAGGCTGACCTTCCCAACTCCCCCGCTGTTCCCTACTCTTTGAGTCAGCCACAACATCCTCCTCCCCTTGTTGGTCTTTTCCTCTTTTGCACAATGACTCAGTCCCCCATATCATCCCTCATCTGATATAATTATCCCTCAAAGCCAGTCTTGCCATTTACTGAAGTGCTTCTGTCCCTCAATTTCTCTTTGTCACAAGGTCAGCTAGTGGCCTATTGGGAAGAATCAGAGCAATGGCAGCTTCCAGTGCAAGAAAAGGCAGACTCTGTGTTGGGGGAAGTGACGGCCTTGTCTAAGACCATGACACTGCTGTGTGGAATCTGACTGCAGCCTTCCTCAGTCTGGAGGCTGGATCAGACCCAGTCACTGCTGTTTCCCTTTAAAGGTCTTCAGGAAATTTGCTGTTGTCTGAAAGCTGCTCTATGGGCACCTGTTTGTTGGGCAGCTGGGGAGATGAATGGTGTAGCTCTGCTGAGATCATTCAAGCTGTCACTGCTTCTTGCCTTGGCCTGGCTCTCACAGCAGCCTCTGTCCCGCTCAGTCCTTTCACCAGGCAGCCAATTAGTGAGAAATCCCACTGTGTGGCTAGCTCCAAACAGCCACCTCGCCAAGGCCTGGGCTGACCCATGCCCTGCTACAGATGGGCCTGTGCTGCCTCCTCTGCTGGAGGGCTGGGGAGCCTGTGGGGATGCTGAGTTGGATGGTAGGCAGGAGCAGTACCCTTTGGAGCTATGAGAGGCTGCAAACACTGACAAGAAGCAGGGGAAGGAGGGTTTCAGGAAGACTGTCTTGAGCCCCAGACTCCACAGGTGGGGCTGCCTCTCCAGCTCCTGAATATTCATCTCAGCCTGGGCTGCAAACTGGGCAGAAACAACCAACTGCTGAGATCCAACAGTATAATGGCAGCATTGCTGCTGGAACCAGGAGCAGCTTACTTGCTCCAGCCCCTAGAGGTGTCTGTTTCGTACAAGCTACTGGTGAGTGTAAAATTTCCACAATGCTGAACCACCCAGCGCCCCCCTGCCTGAGGAATAAGGGCCACCAGAGCAGCCTTCCAGCTAGATTCTTAAGCCTTTAAAGAAGCACTGCACTGATTCACTTTGTCGTGTGTTCGCTTCTCACCTAACCTCCTCCTGACCTGCTTCTGCACCACTCCAGGTGCTTGCCCAGAGCCCAGGCATCTGCCTAAAAGAAAGGCAGTTAATCTTCTGCAAGTCTCACTGTTCTAAGGGGGGGATCTTTATGCCCAGACTTTTCTGCTGCCCTCTTTTTTACCCATTTCTTACTCCTTCCTCTTTCCTCCCAACTGGAGTATCTGTGACCATGGTCTGAAGAGTAGGCTGGAGACAAACTCATAGTTGGGATCCATCGCAGCAGGCTCTCACCTCTGAAATCCTAGATGAATTCTGGAATTCTGCAAGGCCACCTTCAATCATTTCCTACTTCAGGCTTAAATAAAGCAAGGTGTCTCCTGTACAACTTGAGAAGGAAGGGTGGGGCCCTTGGTTAACAGGTCTTAGCAGGAAGTTTTCCATGACATTCAACTTGATCTCTTCTCCTTTTCTGGCCCCTCCCCATTCCATGCCTAGTAATGCAGCTGGGTATGCTTGGTCCTGGAGCATTTCAATGAGGTGCAGATCTCTCGCCTCTCATTGGCTGTTCTCTAGATTGGGAGCTCTTGGAAACAGGGAAGGGCCTCGTATGGAGTTGAACATGCAGTTAGCAGTGAACAGTTCTGCTTTTTGACTAGGCAGCTTGCTTCTCCACCCCTAGATGTGTCTCTTTGGTTTGCTGTTTGTTCAGAGGTGTTTGGGCCTGCTTCTTCTTGCATCTGTAGTGGGCATCTTGCACTTGGGCCTGTATCAAGATCCACAAAGCTCCAGGCATCACAAGCAATAAGCAAACAACACCTTACTAGTGGGTCTGTTTTCTAGTGTCCTGGAGCCTCAACAAAGGGAGCACTGAGAGGCAAATGGCCTGGGCATCTGAAAGCCAGGGCCATTTGGCATTGTGGGGCTGCTCTATACCTATGAGTTCTGGAATCTAATCACAGGCCTTCTTGGCTTTGTGGCAGGGACCCTGAATGGCCTAAGAGCCCCAGCTTGATCCAGGGTACTTGGGTCTTCCAGTTTCCTCTCTTCATAGAAGTAAGCCTGGAAGCCATGGCATGGTGGTTTACCCTGGTTCCCAACCCTGAGACAGTCTGCATATCTGGCTGCCCTTCAGCCATGGATTCTGGAAACAGTCTCCCCAGCAGCCAATCAAGAAAGTTTTTCTGGGTTGAAATACAGTATTTGTGGAAAACATTTTAGGTGAAACAAATTAATATTTTCAGATGAAACCCTGTTCTTGTTGGAAATTGTCCAACCAGTGTTATTTGCCAAGAGCCCTAAGCTAAACTTCAGTGGGAAATGGCATTTGGAGAAAGCAGTGACATCAGGACAGAGGAACTCTGGTAAGAGCCTGAAAGAGTATATATCAGTAATTGAGGGACTCTGCTGCTGAGTGAAGAAGAGTTAAACCCTAGAGGAGAGAAGCTCCAGGGATCAGAAATGTATTTGCAGCCATGGGCAATACATCTCAAGAGAAACAGCATCTTGGAGAGGAGAATCCACTGTTAAACCTCAGGAACAGTTCTGTTTTAAATTTCAGGTTTTAATAAAACATATTCCTACTTCATTTAAACCACTGTTTTCCAAAGGAAATCTGGTATTTTTGTCTCTAATGAAATGGGAGACTGAGCTGAGCAAATAACAGCAGTTCCTATAGGAATCAAATTCTTCTCTTATAGGCTGAAGGCAAGGAGGCAGCAGATCCATTGGTGTGGCTTGACACAGATCAAATTGCAATCGTCAAGCTTCCAAACACAGAATCCATAACTGTTTAAAATCTTCATGAGAACAGCTTTGCTTCCCTCCATGGGAAGCAAAGGTTTCTGAGCTTTAATTTATTGATTGTCTATTAAATGATATAGTTTTTAATCAGTGCAAAATGAATGTGCCAAAATGTTTCTACACTAAGGAGACAGCTGTGAACACTTCCTCTCCATGTATTGTGAGGGCAGAGTCCTTCCTTCTCTCCTGTGTGGCAAAAGAACTTAACCTCCCCTGCTCTTCATGTGGCTTCCGTCTTTTCCTGTTGCAGATATTCCAGTGATACCTGACTTGGAGGAAGTGCAGGAAGAAGACCTTGCCATGCAAGTAGCAGCACCACCCAGGTAATAGTACAGGCATGCAGCCACAAGCGTGGAGTCACAGCACTAGTCAGCAGTGGGAAGAAGAGAATGAAATTCAACTCCATGTTATCTTATGTTTTGCACAGTATGACATATGCCCCATTCATCAGTATTTGATGCTATCCATTGCAATAGTGCAGCTCCAAGATGAATGGTACCAACTTGTTGTTTCCTGTTGCACAGAAGAAGAAATTGCAATGTGTCCTATAAATATGCAAAAAATGACATTAACATGTCCTGGATGAGACTAAATTGAAATCTCAGGACAGAGAAAATGCCCCATGTAAGTTTGCTCTTCATCTGTCTATGGTGGCATCTAATGCTTGGTGGGTAGTATTGGAAATGCACAATATATTCATAATTTATTAATAATACACCATGTTCAGACCCTCACCTTATGCTATGGAAACATCACTTGAGTGAGATGTGCCCCAACTCCTCTCCCCATGTATTGCATCTCCTTAGGGCTATCATTCTTAATCGGGGTGCCACAAGGCCCCTTCAGGGGTGTTGCAGACGCAGGCAATGTTGCTACCATGGCAGCCAGGTAAGACTAGCCTGTATGCAGGGTTGTGGTGCACACTGACTCCTGCTGCATTAGAGTTCTCTATAATCTGAAAGCAAGACAGGAGAGCTGGCTTGGGCAGTAACCCTTTCCAGTCCTCTCACCCCACCATGCTCCTCCATGAAACAGAGGCATGCAGAACAGTTTCACCTTCATGCCTCTGTTTCTGGGAGGGATGTGGGACTGGGAAGGGCTACAGCCTGAGCCAAATGTCGTGTCCTACTTTAAAGTTATCAGAGAGCTCTAATGCAGCAGGAGTGCATGGGCTGTCTGTGCAGCAGGTACATGGGGAAGTTTTATGTCGACACAGCAAAACCCAGCTGAGAAGCCATGAGCATCAACAGTGACTTTCATCTGGGGATGCCACCACATTCTAAAAAGTGGTAGAGGATTACCTGGGTCTGAAAAGGTTGAAAGCCACTGCTGTATGGAGACATGTACATTCCAGCTGTGTGCACCTTAGCTCTCATCCATATGCCACTACTCCCCAGAGAAGCTCAAGTTGCTCCCAGACTTAGCTTGTTCTGTTTCTTCCCCTGTCCCCCCTGCTTTTGCAGTATCCAGGTGAACAGGGTGCTGACCTACCGTGACCTGGACAATGACCTCATGAAGTACGCTGCCTTCCAGACCCTGGTGAGTATCCCTGTGTAATAGCTAGTATTACCCATCCTGCAACTCTTTCCTACCTCCCCCACCCTTCTTTAGCAAAATAGAGATTCAGTGCAGTCTATATGCAACACTGTCAACCAGGCAATACCCAAGACTGCATAGTACCAGTCTTCCCTGATGTGGGGAATTAATCATAGTTTGTACAGGTGAACACTAGTGAACAGATATCATTTCACCTATGTGGCATCTATCTAGTACTTAGGTGTCTAAGTGGGATCCTCTACCAGTCTGCTTTAGTCCCTGAAAACCCATTAACACAAAAATTGTGTAGATCTTCCTCCTTGTTTTTTTTTCAGTTAAGGCTAAAATGAAGGCATTACAGAAGTAAATTAGTTAATGGTTTTTCAGTGACTGAAGCAGGGTGCAACAAAATCACACTTAGATGCTTATGGGTTGCAGTAGGTCCTGGCCCTACATGTTGGGGTCCTGTTGTATCTCTGACACTGCAGTTATAAACATTCTCCTGGTTTCTTTGCTTGGTATCCATTTAGGAATCTTACATGGCTATTTATTATACTCTTGCATTTTCCATCCAAAGCCCACCTTTCAAAAACACATTCTTTACTTGCGTTTCAGTTGGTATTGCCCCTCTCTTTGGGCCTTAGACACAGTACAGCTCCTTTCCCTCAGCCTGGACCATTTCAGATGCTGCTCCATCAGTTATGCTCCTGGCATCTGAGCCACATGCAGCTTGGCCTCGCTGCTGGATTACCAGTTTTGGGTGTAGATACCTTTTCCTAGCTAGAAAGAAGTGTCCAGAGCAGTTCCTGAGAAGAATAATCACCAAGGGCATTGGACCATGATTGCCTCTCTGCTGTACAGATGACCGTATTGTCAACTCCTTGAGTTCAAAAGTCATGAGTCAGAGCCCTCAAAGTCAGGAGATTGGCTTAAAAATCATGAGGTATTCTGATTTTGTTCTGTCGTCTTTTTTCTGAGCTCCCTCCCCCTTTCTACTCATAATGCACATGTGACAAGAACAGTTGCCCTAGTCCCTTGAGAAGCTATCAGATACCCCTGTTCCTCCCCTCCGTCTTTACTTGCTAGGTCCTTTAGCTGACCCCCGTCTCTAATTTGCAGTGGAAAGGCCTTCCTTGGATCCTTACCTTCATTAGCTCCCCATTCCTGCCCTGTGATGGATGGTGAGAGGTTTAATGCATGGTGTCTGTGTCTGGGCTCTTCCCCAACAATGTTTGTTGCACAATGGCCACTAGCGGCTAGAGAGAGAAACTGCAGGCAGCTCCCTACAGTAGAGGTGCTCCCAATTCCCAAACCAAAGTAATCCTAATTTTGGTACTGGAATTGTGACATTGCAAAACTGGGTTTTGTCTTATATGCTCCTTCACTGTCCCCCTGCACTGCCTATTCCCAAATGCCACCTGATAATCCTAAGAAGGCATTTGTCTCTCAAAGTAAGAGTTTGTCTTTGTCACCAGCAACATCTATTTCTGCCTCAAATGGGGTATCCGTTTGTTCCATGCCTAGCCTTCTGGAGTAAGAGCAGGGTCTGCTATGTATTCACAGGATGGAGAAACTGACCTGAAGCTCCTCACCAAAGTTTTGGCTCCCGAACAGGAAGTACGAGAGGTGAGTCTTGTCCTGAGATAGCAACATTGGGAACTCGGCTACTCATATAGGCTTCTCTTTCCCTGGAGGCCAGGGGTTGGTGACAAGTTTGGGGTTTTGTCTGACTAGGTAGAGTCTGAGGGATGTTCCCCATGGACAATTTAAGGGATTTCTGGAGCCCAGAATCTTTAGTCTGCCTAATGTAGCACCACTTCTGACTGGGCCCTCCCTCATGAAAAGCTAATAACAGTAATTGCAGACTGGTTTACCACAGTGCAGGTTCCCTACAGAACCAATACTTCATTTGATTTTGCCATCTAGAAGACATAATTAGTGCCTGTTGGTACTGCACAGCAGTAATGAGGGACAAAGACAGAGAGATGTGTTTGGGGAACTCAGACCTGGAGCAACAGGAGGCCCCTGTAGGTCACAATACAGGCACATCAGCAGAATTGTGTGGGGGTTAGCACTGGACAGGAATAGCAGAGTTTCTGCAGGTCAGAATTGAGCAGGATTGAGGGTGCATTGATCAAAATGTCTAGGGCTGGGACATTTCACAGCCCTTCAGTGCCATGCTTGGTTTAGTCTGTACCCTTCATGCCTATTTAAATTCTTTTTTGGTGAATTTTAAAATTACAAATACCTTGTCAAAATCATTTAACTATGGTAGTAGGGACTGAAATCACATTTCTAGCCCTGGTAATACAATTGTCTGTCTTCTCTCTGGATAGAGCAGTAGCCCTTCCACCTATCGCAGCTACAACTGTAGGGCAGGTCAGCTGTCCAACCTGAATGTGTAGCAGCATTTAAACATTGGTAGGTGTTACATGTAGCACATCAGTATTTCTCTCTCTTGTCTTTTCATAGGATGACATCTGCTGGGACTGGGACCATCTCTACACAGAGGTATCCTCAGAACTTGTGACGGAGTGGGACCTGGGGCAGTCTGAGAGGGAGGAGCCCCTCAGCCTGTCCTAGAACAGCAGAGTGTTGGCTGCCTATCACTCCAGCCCTACACCCTCCACTACTGTATATAATTAGCACTTGTTATTTTTTATCAACTGTTTTTGTTTGAGGAAATATTCCACATAAACAAGGTGAAAGCTTGATAGGAAAGTGAGCTTGAGAGGAGTCCTGTGTATTTTTTTAATATAAATATTTGTTTTCAAAATGCTAGGGCAAATAATTCCAAATTCAATAAATCATTTGTCTATGAATGGTCACTTCTGTTTCTTTCCCTCCTCATCCCAAAATACCTTAAAAATTACTGCAAGGATCTCTTTCTCTAAGTGGGACCACTGTTTAGTAGCTATACTACACAGCAGGGTAAGTGAAAAAGGATATGGTTTCCAATTGAAAGTACAGGCAAAGTTTGGGATGACACAGGATGAATTTGCTCAAGACACTAGGTGTTACCATCCAAGTCTTGCAACAGGTGCCACAAGTTGGCAGGACCTCAGTTACATATCTTACTCTAGCAACCCCATGTCTTTTAGCCTCATGATTGGAGTACAGCTATTCAGTAGCTCAGAGGGAAGAATATCACTTATTAAGCTGCCATTGTTATTTCTTGTAGTACTTGGCTGGTCCCATGAGGGATTCCAGGTAAGTATTGACCAGGCCTAACACTGCTTAGCTTGTGCAATCTGATGAGATCACAGCCTGAGCTGAGATAGCTTCAGGCAATAGAAGGTTTGCAAAAAAAATACTGTTTATTCTACACACGTGGAAGAAAGTGGCCTGCTACTATGATACAGGGAAACTCCCTACTGGGTGTTTCTTTGGTACAAGGCACCACTCTCTCATGGTTATTTAGACTCCATCTAGCTGTTTTTAGTGTTTCACTCTCATATCAGTGGTCATTGTTTGTGAGGAGCTTTTGCATTATATCTGAGCTGATACCCTCCAAAACTTGGTGCTACTAGAGAATTTGACTATAATTTCTCCCATGTGGAGCAAGTATAAATGCCCTTTGGTGTGGTGCAGGTGCCTAGGGGAGGGCTAAACTTCTGGCTTTCTTAGCAGGCTTTATGCTTGTTTAGTGAATTGCACTCCTACTATTGTGCTGAAGGCAGGATGGGGCCAACAACCCCTCTAAATGCAGCCTGCTGCCAACTCTGAACAGGCAAGCTCATTGGGAAATAATGCTTCAGGCAAAGGGGGAACAGGACAGGGCCCAGCAACATACCCCATGGCCTTTGGTGCAAAGGCCATGGCATAACCTTGGAAATTGATGCTGTCATACCTTGGGGCTGCAGGGGAGTGGTGGAATAAATGGAAGGGCCGATTCCTGGATCTGGGAGAAGGGGATAAATTCTTCACTGGGCAAAGGGTTTTTTTTTCTGTCTATCTATGGTGATTCTAATAAATGGCTCCTTGGAGTCCTCAGTCTTTCAAATCTCTTTACTTGTATAGCTGGAGACATGCACAGATGGTGATTTCCTCCTCTGCCTCAATGCATGTTGCAGCCCAGGCGCTGCAAGGAACTGATGTATTAACCCATACAGAAGCACTGTCTCCCCCAACACACAACTGCAATCCATACCCCACCTCAAGCTTTGGGGTCTGCTTTCCAAATCTCTGGGTTTTTGACCCTGGCTTACAGTTGCCCTTTGTGTGTAAAAGACAGCAAATGGAGCCAGATCTTGTTCAGGCCATACAGTTAGAAGTAGTATCCCTACTGTTGTTCTCTGCCTTCCCCTCAGATGCAGGGAGAGGCTCATTTTTTAAGTAAAGGAATCTTGCGGATAACTGGGAAACCAGGTGGGGAGAAAGGACAAAGACTGGGAATATCTCTGCATTCTCCCCCTCCCCCTAACACACATACTCAGTAGGTAAATGTTCAGAGAATGAGCCCAAACTCTTTCCCTGAGCAGAGAAGCTTAATTTGTACAAGCTGCTCCCCCCGGAGACATCCCAGACAAACCCCCTTCCTCCCCCCTCGCTCAGACTCTCTCTTTCAACAAGGCCTATACAGGCCCCTTAGCTGGGGGGGATGGAAGGTGCTTCCCACATCCCAATAGAAAAACCTTTCATTAAAATTCATCAAAACAAACTGAGTCAGGAGACTGGATGCATACCTAGGAAGTGAGATTGGGGTGAACATCCTTTGAGATCCATGCAGGCAGTGGAGCATCTTTCTCCTTAATTATAAGCTGTGAGACTTACTGGTATAAGTCTCTTGCTTCCTTGTGAGGTCAGATTCCATATTACCCCACTCTTCTGCTGAGCTATATCACACTGCTGCTGTATTTCTCACAAGTAGACACCTCCAGGTCCTAGCATCTCTGAAAGCTGGAGGGAACACATCTATCTCTGGGTCCTCTTGCTGTAGCCTCAGGAATTGTAGCTCCTAATATTTCCACTGAGGCCTGAGTCTGCATCATGCACGCTGCTGCATTGTCCTAACCTGTCCCTCTGCTCCTCCCCTAAGACTGCTGGAGCTGCTTCCAGTTTGATGATGAGAAGGGCAGAAAAGTAATTCAAACTGGAAGGGTAAATTAAGAAAAGGAGGTGTGAGCATTGTGAGGTACTGTGAGGTGCCATATTCCACTCTGAGAGATCAGGCCCCAGACAAGATCATCAGGATCAGTGCACTTGAGAACTCTTCTAGCCCTTTTGGCAAAATTAAATGACCACTCGTCAGTTTGAAATGACTGGAGCAGCCCCAGACTCCCCAGTACAAGGGCAAAGAGAACTGTGAATCCAGATTCCCTGGCTGTTTGGGCTGAAGTTGGTCCACAGTATTGATTCAGCCCACTATTTGATGAGCTTTGTTTAAGGATTTAGGAAAGCAGAGTTCTCTGAAGTGATAGGAGATTAAGAGAGGAAGGATGGCTTAGCAGTAAAGACTTGTCTAGGACTGAGAGACTTTGGTTTACATCTGTTCTCCTTCTCAGAGGTGAAGGAGGTCCTGTTGGGTCGTTGGGCAAGTCACCGCCTCTGTGATGCAGTTCCACATCCATAAAACAGGGATAATAACATTTTCCTGCCTCATATGAATGCTTTGAGGATAAATTCATTAGAAGTTGTGAGGTGCTTAGATGCTGCAGCTATGGGTGCCACATAACCATCTAGGAGAGATGAAAGTCATAAGGTCCCCAAGGGTTGCTGAGGTTCCTTTTTCTTTTGCTAGAACCAGGTGCTTTGAAGAAGTTGCCTGGGAGATGCAATTCTGCTGCACTCAATGGAGACGTCTCTCTGTTCCCTACAGGCTGGGCACCCTGGCTTCAGAGTGAAGGAGGGAAAGTGGAACTTGAATCTGCATCTCCTTTGCTGGGTGAGATAAAAGCCCTTGTTGTTTCTGTGGAAGATGGACTATGCACTTGCTTAGCACAGATTTTTAGAATGAGGGGGCACATATCTGCCCCTTAGACTTAAAGTTGGGAGAGAAAGACAACACTGTGTTTTTCCCTTCCTGTTTTTCAACCAACAGTGAGAAGGTGGATGCGAGGGGAGAAGGGAGGCAGTTTTAACCAAGCCTACGCTACACAGTTTTGCTGGTAATTGTTGAACATACACACTGAAAGCTCCTGTGTGGCTGCAGAGCCCTCTGCCCTGCTGGCAGAGATAAACCCTCTCTGCTGAGTAGAGAACGGGATCTGCTGATGGAAAGTGCCTGTAGATATTCATTCCTATGCTTTCCTCTGGCTGCTGTGGCTCCTTCAGCAGCTGGTGCCTTCCCAGAGTGCACTCTGCCCTATGGTGGCACAGCTGCTGAGTGCAGCCGTGTGGAGCTGCCAGGGGCACAGGGATGGATGTGCACGTGCCTTTGGGAATGATGGCAGCAGAGGCAGAGTGGAGACAATGCCTCAGTAGCTATTGTATACTATAAGACAACAGCCTTCTCCCTGGGGGCTTGCAGTGCAGTCTCCTGCCTCCAGGGGCTGCTTTGCTTCTGTTGGGTGGCCAGGACACTGCTTGCTTGCTGAGCTCCTGAGATGGGAAGTGGAGGAGGTGGGCCAACCGATGGAGAGCAGATCATCCTAGGAGAGCCATGCCCACGAGAGGAGACTCAGGTAGGAGGACAAGGAACTGGGGGAACTCCTAGGTGGGATCCCTGGTTCAAGGAGTTGGGCCCTGGGGCATGGAAGTCCCTGGAAGGGTTTGGGGGTGGGTGAGAAATGGGGATCTGGGTGACAGCATTTTGGAAGAGAGATGAACCCTGGGCTTTGGGACAGAGTGGGGAGGTGTGGCTCCTTTTTGGGGCCGGACAGGAGGAGTATTGGGGCCACAAGATGGCTCAAGCCACTTTGGAGAAGGCTAGAGACAAAGGGAGTCTGTGGGATGCAAGTTTGGGGGCTTGGGTATGATTAATTGGAGGAACAGGGAGGGGACTGATAGCAACTGGAGAGAGAAGGGGGTTGTGGGAGAGGTAGGGCAGGTGCCAGAGTGGGGTGCCTGGAGGAGGGAAGGAGGATGGTAAGCAGTATGGGAGGAACAGGGGGGTGAGGGCATGTTGGAGGTAAGGGAGGTGAGAGGACATGAAAAAAAGACCAGGACCTTGGAGTGGGGAAAGTAAAAAAAAAACAAAAAAACAACAACCTTTGGAGCAGAGTGGGGGATTTACAGGTGGGCAGAGGCATGGAGGAGCTGGGGGAAAACAGCCTGAAGCTCCCCTTTGCAAGTCCTCCAGGGATGAAACCCGGTGCGTTGCAGCACCGTGTCCCTCCCCATGTGGTGCAGCCTCTTACTTGGGCCTCTGGGGCTGTGATGGGGCAGCCCTGGGCTGTAGCTGTCATATATGGCAAGGCTCACAGGAGCCAGGCACAGCTTTACTTAACAACAGATACTTGGGTTAGAAAAGAGAGAGGTAGTGGATTTGAGTAGCTTAAGGCAAGCTGAGGCTGCTCTGACCAGGTGGTACAGATGGGCCGTACATCAGGGCTGCAGCCAGCTTGGTGGTTTGTGGTTGAACTAGGGCCTATCTTTTAGAAAGACAGCCAGTCTTGATTTAAAGGCTTGAGCTGGTGGGGAGCTGCCCAGGCCCCTCCGTAGGCTTTTCCAGTGGCTAAGTACCATCTGTGTTAGAGAAAACGTGCTTTATTTCAAGTTTGAAGTTTTGAGTTTCACCTTCCAGTCCATGGCTTGTCTTAAACTTC